GAGCTGTGGGAGGATATCAAGATTATCATCTGTGAATAATGTGAAAGGTCATTACAAAGACAAAAGAAGAAGAAGAAGAAAAGAACAAAATGGATGTCAGGAAAGACTCTGAACATTGCACTAGAGCACTAAGAAGCCAAAGCAAAGGGAAGAAATCAAGAAGTTAAGGAGCTGAACAGAAGATTTCAAAGGGCAATTTAGGAAGATAAATTAAAGTGTTAAAATGAAATGTGCAAGGAGCTGGAGTGAGAAAATCGAAAGGGCTGTACTTGCTTGGCTTTTCTTAGGCTGAAGGTACTGAAGAACAAATTCTGGTCTTAAGTTGCAATACTTAAGGATGCCATGTGCAGAATAGTAAATGATCCAGGAAGCATTAACAGAAGATGGAAGAAGTATACAGAGTTCCTGTACTAAAAAGAATTGATTGACACAGAAGAATTTCATGAAACAACATATAATCAAGAGGCAAAGGTGAAAGGGAGCACTGGTGGTCTAGTAGCAAGAACTTGTGCTGCAATATCCTGAAGGTGTGTGGTTCACATCCACCATATCCACCAGATACTCTGCTGGAGAAGCGGGGGCAATCTCCTCTTGTGCCAGTCAGATCTGTTTTGACAGTACAAAACAATAAAAGAACCACTTAAAAATGAAATTTTTTAAAATGGGGCAAAGGTGATGAAGGAGGAAGTGCAGGCTGTTCTGAAGGACTTGGCAAAAACAAGACTCCAGGAATTGATGGAATATCAATAGATATATTTCAACAAACAGATGCTGGCCTGGATGTGCTCACCAGGTTGTGTCAAGAAATCTGGAGGACAACTACTTGACTGGAAGAGATTTTTTAAAAAGATGACCCAACAGAGTGTGGAAATTATCAAACAATATTCCCAATATCACATACAAGCAAAATTTTGCTGAAGATTGTCCAAAATTGACCAAAACAGTGCATTGACATAGGACCACCAGAAATAAAAGCTGGGTTTAGAAGAGGTTGTGCCACTAGAAACATTATCACCAATGTCATATGGATCTTGGCAGAAATCAAAGAATGCCAGAGGAATGTCTATCTGTGTTTCATTGATTGTGCAAAGGCATTTGACTGTGTGGATCACAAGAAATTGTGGCTAACCTTGAGGAGAATGAGAATCCCAGAACACTTGATTGTGCTCATATGAAACTGATACCAGGAAGCAGTCCCCGGAAAGAGCAAGGAAGCATGGCATGGCTTAAAATCAAGAAAAGAGCGCATCAGGGATGCTTCCTGTCACCATACTTTTTCAATCTACGTGTAGAACAGATCATTTGGGAGGCTGGGCTTGATGAAGAGAAATGTGGCATCAGGATTGGAGGAAGACTCATCAAAAACCTGAATTATGCAGGTGACAGTCTTGCTTGCTGAAACTGAGGAGAAACTGAGGTGCTTGCTACAGAAAGTCAAGGACTATAATCTTCAATATAGATTGAAGCTCAACATCAAGAAGACAAAGATTCTCACCACAGGGCCAAGTGGCAGCACTATGATAGATGGAGAAGAGATTGAGATTGAGATTGTTAATAATTACTGCTTGCTCAGCTCCACAATCAACACTCTTGGCACCAGCAGTCAGGAAATCAAAATATGACTTGCACTGGGGAAATCTGCTGTCAGGGACCTCTCTAGAGAACTAAGAAGCAACAATGTCATTCTAGAGACTGTGGTGCACCTGATTCAGGCCATGGTCTTCACAATTACTTGCTATGCATCAGAAAGCTGAACAATGACTAAGGATGACAGAAGAATTGATGTCTTTGAGTTGTGACGTTGGAGAAGAGTCTTGAACATACCATGGACTTCCAAGAGAACAAACAGGTATGTCTTGAAGAGGGTGAAACCAAGTTTCTCCTCGGAGGCTAGAATTTTGAAGCTCCACCTCACATACTTTTGACATGTGGACTGGAGGGACTGGTCCTTGTAGAAAGACATCATGCTTGGAAGGGTGGAGGGATAGCACAGGAGAAGAAGACCCTGGATGCAATGGATTGACACAGTAACTGGGATAACGGGGACAGGTATGTCAGAGTCAGTGAGACTGGCTCAGGATAGGGCAGGCTTTAGAGCTGTTGCACATGGGATTACTACGAGTCACAGGCAACTTGATGGCACATAACAACAACAACATATATCCCTAGTAGTGAGACTGTTGGATCAAATTATATTTCTATTCCCAACTTTCTAAATAAGTGTCAAACTACTTTTCATAGTGGTGCACCATTTTATATTCCTATCAATAGTGTATGAGAGTCCCAATCTCTCCACACACTCATCAGAATTTTTAATTTACTATCTTGTTGCACTTTGTAACTGCTGCTGTAGTGAGATGAGCTCCAGAAGTCTCAGGCAACTATTATAATGAAATGTGCAAATAGCTAGAGTTAGAAAATAAAAAGTAGAGAACTTGCTCAACGTTTCTCCAACTGAAAGAGCTGAAAACCAAATTCAAGCCTTGAGTTTCAATACTGAAGGAAAACTATGGAGAAAATCTTAAATGATCTAAGAAGGTTCAAAAGATGAAAGTCTCTGTCCAAAAAAGAACTGGCTGACACAGAATCATTTCGGGAAGCATCTTATGATCAAGAACCAATAATAATGAAGGAAGAAGTCCAGGCTGTACTTAAGGCAAAAAATTAGGTCCCAGGAATTGATAGTTGTTGTTGTTGTTATGTGCCATCCAGTCGCTTGCAACTCATAGCGACCCTATGTACAACAGCCCTAAACTCTGCTCTGCCCTGTGCCAATCGCACTGTCTCTGACACTCCCATCCCAATTAACCCAGTCACTGAATCAATCCACCTCATAGAAGGCCTTCCTCTCCTGCGCTGTCCCTCCACCCTACCAAGCATGATGTCCTTCTCCAAGGACCAGTCTCTCCTCAAAACATGTCCAAACTATGTTAGACAGAGCCTCAGAATCCTTGCCTCCAAGGAGCCACCCGGTTTAACCCTTTCCGGGATCTCTTTGTTTTCCTAGCAGTCCATAGTATTCTCAATACTCTTCTCCAGCACCACAGCTCAAAGGCATCAATTCTCCTTCTATCCTCCTTGGTCATTGTCCAACTCTCTGATGCATAACAAGTGATTGTGAAGACCAAGGCCTGTATCAAACGCACCTTAGTCTCTAGAGAGACACCATGTTTCAGTAAACAGATGCAGCCTTGGACATGCTCACCATTCTAGTCTATGCCAAGAAATTTTGAAAATCTGCTGTCAAAGACTTCTCCAAAGTGCTTAAGAGTAATAATATCAGTTTAAAGACTGAAAGACATATTGCCCAAGTTATGGTCTTTTCAATTACTATTCATCTGAAAGTTGGACAATGAATAAAGACAACAGAAGTGAGATCTTTCAGTTGTGATGTTGGAGAAGAGTACTGAATATTCCATGTACTATCAAAAGAACAAACAAGTCTGTCTTGAGTTAGTACAAGCAGTGTGCTCCTTTGAGGCAATGATGCTGAAACTTCATCTTACATACTTTGGGCATGTTGTTAGGAGAGGTCAGTTCTTGGAAAAGACATCATACTTGGACGAGTGGACAAGAGATGGAGATCTTCAACAAGATGGATTTGCACAGTGACTGTATCCATGGCTCAAGTATCTCAGAGACAATGAGAACAGCACAGGAAAGGGCAAATTTTACATCTATTATTCACAGGGTTGATATGAGTTGTGGTTGATTTGATGGAACCTAACAACAGCAATAGTTAATGATTTTGAGCATTTCCTCATGTGTGAGTCAGCTATTTGAACGTCGTAGGTGGTTTATCTTTTGCTTATTTTGTTATTGCGTTGTTCTTTCTCTTGTTGACTTGTTGGAGTTTTCTACAAATTTTAGAAATGAGTATTTGTCAGATATGCTATTGCCAAATATATTTTCTCAATCTGCAGGTTTTTTTCTCTTAACTCTTTTGAGACTCTTAACTCTTAACACTTGACTGATAGGTTCAAACTGCCAGAAAGGCATCACTTTTAAGCTAGCACCACACCTCCCTCTGGTGTAGGCCATCAGGAGGCCCTATATACATACATATATATAAATTTTTTCAGCTTTACACATCATATCTGCACCTGATAAACTTCTTTATGTGTATCTCATACCTAAAACACAATAGAAAATTGGTATGTATTAAGTGTGGCTACATGCTATGCACTGCCCAAATTTGCATTTTCAAGTCATTAACTTATTTCATGATCATCAACTTGTTTATTTATAGGTTCTACCCCTGCTCATAGGATGTTCATGGCTATCAGGGGAGATAGTATCCAAATAGTCCCGTGAAGAGAAATAAAAGAAAGACAAGGCCCAATAAAGGTCATTACTGATGAATAGAAGGGGGACATGTCTTCATCTAAGAACCAAAAAAGGTTTTCTTGAGAAGTGAAGCTTGCACTTCAAAGATGAGGTGAAATTAAGCAGTAGAGTAGGAAGAGAAAAAGCATTTTACATAGATTGCTACTCTACTGAATCTTTTTCTTGTGGATTCAAATCATGTACCTTAACACTAGGCTACAAGAGCTCCCTTTTTGTGGTGGGAGAAAGGTAGAAATCAGGGCTAACAAAGAACTAGTGTAAGAGCTAATGTGAAACTGAAGGCTTATTTATTGTCTGCCTATTTATTTCATGATGTCTGCATGAACACCACACACATACATACTATATGCATGGTGGGAAAAAACGTATTTTATGCACATTATTTGTATTAAAATACAGTATCCTTTACAACAACCATTTCATAGATAAGAAAATTGAGGCTTATAGAGATGAATTAGTCACATCAGGTCACCCAGCAATTACAGATGGGACTGGGATCTGACTGCGGTGGGATTCCTCTCTGCCCACTGAGAAGAGTTGACATAAGTTAGAGACATTACCTGATTCTACCAAGATAAAGAGGGTGGTTGCATCAGCCTGCTAGTTACCCTCACTGCCTTTCAGCCTCACAGGGTCCATGGATGGTGCCAGCCATGCAGTCCTGCTCTGAAGAGCACTACTGGGATCCCCTGCTGATGACCTGTGTCTCCTGCAAACCCATCTGTAGCCGCCGCAACCAACGCATATGTGCAACATTCTGCAGTGAGTCCTAGAACCTGAGCTCAGCTGGCTCCACCGCAATTGGGTGGGTGCAGAGGGGTGGGGAACAAAGATGTACAATGTGGCACTTTTTCACTTCTCCATCTTTCTGCACTTATTACATTGACCTCCTTTCAGTTTCTTGAACTTCTTCCTGCCTCAGAGCTTTTGCACAAGCTATTCCTTCTGCTTGGAGTCCATTTTCATTCTTCTTTTTTTGGTTCCGTCTTTAGGTCTCAATTGCTACAATGGGCTTTAGTATGTCAGAGATGATGACGAGGACAGCACAGGAGAGCACAGGGTTCAGATCTGTTGTTCACAGGGTTGCTATGAGTGGAAGTCAACTCAACAACATCTAACAAGAAGTGTCATTTTAGCTAAATTCAACATATTTTGATATCTATAATTTTAAATATGTTTAATTGAAAATATTTTTACTCTCATTATTTCTTTTTTAATGTATATATTATTTTTAAGTACATTTCTTCATTTCCCAATACATAAGGATTTTCCATCTATCTTTTTTAAATTGGTATCTAGATAATTACATTGTCACTCAAGTTTTTCACTTGTATTTTTCCAACCCATGAAGGAAAAAATATATTTCAGAATAACATAAGGAGTGGAGAGAGGAAACTAGAACCTTTCTTGGTCACATCAAGGAAGGATTTTGAATGAAGGTGAGGAGCTTATGTTAATAGTATTTGTTTTGCCTTAGTAGTAGCTGAAAACCACAGATACACTCTCCACTACCCTCAAGGCAGTCATTGCAATCACTGTGCCAATCCATGTCCTGCCAAGGCTGTTCTTTTGCTGACCCTTTACTTTTCTCAGTATAATGTCTTTTTCCATGTGCAAAGTAGATGAGAGTTTCACTATCCCTGTCTCTAAAGAACACCCTAATGGCACTACCTCCAACACATTTGTCCTCATCGAGGCAGTCGATGGTATATTCAATATTCTTCACCAACACCATAATTCAGAAGCATCGATCTTCTTTGGTCTTCTTTATTCACCATCCAACATTCAGATAAATAGGAAGCAACTGAAAAGACCACTGCTTGGGTCAGGCACTTCGTAAAGCAGACTTTCTCAATACAAGCGTCTTTTGATTTCTTGACTTCTCCTGCCAAGGATGTTGATTGTGGATCCAAGTAAGATGAACCCATTGACAATTTCAACCTTTTCTCCATCTATCATAATGTTATTGGCCCAGTGGAGAGAATTTTTATTTTCTTGATATTGACATGCAATCCATATTGAAGGTGGTTGTCTTCAATTTTCCTCAATAAGTGCTTCAGATCTTCCTCAGTTTCCACAAACAACGTTGTGTCATCTGCATAACACACGTTGTTAAGCTTCTGATTCTGACGTCACATTGTTCTTTATATAGGCCAGCTTTCTAAATTATTTACTCAACATACAGATTGAGTGAGTGTGGAGAAGAATATAACACTGACACATCCTTGTTCTGTTTGGACAACTGCTTCTTTTTAAAAAAAAAATTATACTGATTTATCTACAAAGTTTGAATACATTGTTTTTCACAAAAGATCCTTCCCATTTTCTTCAACAGCCCCCATCCCATTGAATTGTGCAACCCTTTGATTAACACTCCACCCACTCACCTCCGCCCATCCTCACCCTTCTGCTTCCACCCTTGCCCCCCCTTGGATCCTCATACTCATTCTACAATAATGGTTTTATACAATATTTCGGACAACTGCTTCTTGATCGACATATAGGCCTTGCATGAACACAATTAAGTGTTCTGGTATTCCCATTCTTCTCAGTACTATCCATAATTCGTTCTGACTGGCACAGTCAAAAGCCTTTGCATAGTGAATAAAATGCAAATAAACATCTTCCTGGTATTCTTTGCTTTTTGTCAAGACTGGTCTAACATCAGCAGTCTTATCTCTTATTCCACAACCTCTTCAGAATCCAGCTTGAATTTATGGACATTTTCTGTCAATGTATTGTACTAGGTATTTTTGTTGTTGTTGTCTAGCTATTTTTAAATAATCTCCAGCAAGATTCTACTTTCATGTGATATTAATGATATTGTTCAATAATTTCTACACTCTGTTGGATGACCTTTTTTTGGAATGAGAATAAATACAGATCTCTTCCACTCAATTGGCTATGTATATGTCTTCCAAATTTCTTAGCATAGACTAATAAACATGTCCAAAGCTGCATCTGTTTGTTGAAACACTTCAATTGGTATTCTATCAATTCCTAGGGCCTTATTTTTTTTCCAATGCCTACACTGCATTGGGCAGTTTTTGGACACGAAGGACTACTCTGCCTCCAGGAGCCAGGCAAGCCAGGCTTGGCCTTAAGGCAGCAGGGGGCTTCAAGCCCAAAAGGGAAAGAGGGGAGAGAAGGCGGCCATGTTCTCCCAGGTTTGCTCCGCCAAGGGTGTCCTCTAGGTCATATAGCCCTGGTGTACAAGTTGCCACACCGCAGTCACTTGTGGTTGCTGTAAGACTGAAAACTATGCACTGATGTGTCAAATGCGTTAATGGTTGGCTTCCCAATGTGGACAGAGAGAGAGGGGTGGAGCTCCCCAATTAAAATAAGCTTGGAAGAAGGAATAACATCCACTTCCATAATAGCTTGCTTCCAGAAACCCTATGAACCTGGAGAGAGGATGAAAGGCACCCAAGTGTCAAGGACTCTCCTTCATAGGGTCGCTATGAGTTGCCTGCGACTCGACGGCACTTAACAACAACAACACTGCATTGAGCTCTGGTGGCCTAGTGGTAAGAATCTGCACTGCAATCCCAAAAGCATGTGGTTCAAATCCACCAGCTGTTCCACAGGAGAATGATTGGCCATCTCCTCACCTGTGATAAACTGTCTTTGGAAATCTACTGGAGGGTCAGCTATGGGCTGGTTCCAACTCAATAGTATATAACAGTATTAGTGCATTGGCTTTAGCTTGAACTTCTTCCTTTGTTACCACTGGTTCTTGATCATACGAGATGGTTTGGTGTCAACCTATTCTTTTTGGTACAGTGATTCTGTGTATTCTCTCCATCTTCTTTTGATGGTTCCTGCATCTTTCAAGATTTTTTTGTGTGTGTGTGCCATTTAACTCATAATGGCTCCAACCCTGGCAAATCTTTAGTAAAAGACCAAAGACTAGTAAGCTCCAGAGTGAAACCTGAGTATCAAGATTTTTTTCTATGAAGTCCTTCAGTGTTGCAACCTGAATCTTGAATGTGTTCTTGAATGTGTTCTTCAGTTCTTTCAGTCTGAGAAATGCTGAGCATCTTTTGGTTTTCTAGCTCAAAATTCTGGCAAACTTCATTATAATACTTTGCCTTGCCTTCTCATGCTGCTCTTTGAAACCTCCTCAGAATTTATTCCTTTCATTTTGGCTTCTTTACATTCTAGAGTAAATCTCCATTTTTGAGAGTTTTAAGTATATATATTAAAAATTACTTTAATTATTCTGGAATTGCTTTTGGAAACTGACTTTTAAAAATTTCTTTGTTGATTTTGATGTCTTTTGAGAGCTGAACTACAGATCCTGAACATCTCTGCCATCCATTGGCATCCTTCATTTCTGTCTCCCAGAGTCACTGAGTTGCCGCAAGGAGCCAGACAAGTACTATGATCTCCTCCTGAGTGACTGTGTCAGCTGCACTTCCATCTGTGGACAGCATCCCAGGCAGTGTGCAGACTTCTGTGAGGCCAAGGCCAAGGGACAGAGTTACGCCAACCCACCTCCAGAGCTCTGGAGGCAGAGGACTGAGGAGACTGGAGCCAAGCCCAACAGCTCGGGAAGGGACCAGGGATCAGATCCCAGAGTCTTGGAGGCAGGTTCAAGTAAGCCACAGGAGGGTCTGAGGACCAGAATGGGTGGGAGGTCAGGTCTAGGTTTAAGTTTGTTGTTGTTGTTGTTGTTAGTTGCCCTCAAGTTCTGTACAACTCATAGCAACCCTATGAACAACCGATCTTGACACTGTCCTATCCCATGCCATCTTCACAGTCTCTGAGACACTCCAGCCCATTGCTACAGTCACTGTGTCAACCCATCTGATTGAGGGAGGGTCTTCCTCTCCTTCGCCACCCCTCTACCTTTCCAAGCATGATATCCTCTTCCAAAGAATAACATCTCCTAGCAAAATGGCCAAAGTATGTGAGATGAAGCTTCATAATCTTTGCCTCCAAGGAGTGCTCTGGCTATACCTTCTCCAAGACATACTTGTTCGTTTTCTTAGCAGTCCACTCGGTCTTCAGTACTCTTCTCCAATGCTACACTTCAAAGGCCCAAATAAGGAAGAGTTGAAAGAAAGACACCCAGAGTTCAGGCACATGCCCAGAAGTTGGGAGTAGGTGTACCTGACAATATAGAAACAATCAGAGTGGGGGTCTTATAAAAAGGCTCTGAAGTACAAAGCAGTAAAGCCCAGGCAGAACTATTCACTATTTACAGAGATTGCAGGTTTAAAGTTACAAGTCACAGAGGCTGCCTAAGGATGAGAAGAAACAGGTATTACCAGACATTTTGTGATAGAGCTAGACCTTTGCACATAGTAATGAGAATGCCCTGGAGTTGGTCCAAGAAGGACCAGACCATCCTCCCAAGGCGTCCTTAATTCACAAGCCCTGTTCCATGCTGATAGAAAAGGAAGACAAGGGAAACCATAGGGTCCCAGAATACTTGTTATCTCCACTTCCATTGGCCTCATGTGGAAACTAGTTAGTTTTCGCCTCACTTATATTTCCACACGATCACACCATTTCCATGAGGCTGTTTTCCACTACTGAGATACCACTAGGTAGAGTCCATCGGTGGTATAGTGAGGAGTGGGAAACAAAAGGGCACACTTGTTTACAATTCCAAGGGTGTGCTGGATAATACCCATTGGTGAATCACTATCATCAGTAAGGGAGACCAGGCATGGGAGTGGGATGCAAACTCAGAGATTTCACTGGGTACTACGCCTTGCTAGGCCTCTAGGGCCTGTGTATCTTGGAACTAGAGGTTGCCCAGGCACCCAGTCTGCTTGGCTATACTGTACTCTCTTATCCCGGCTTGCTGTCAGTCAAGTACCACTGCATATACCACCACCCTACCCGGGCTGGGCAAGGTTATATAAGTGAGCTGGTGAGATGTGTCCTAAGGACAATGGTAGAGGTGCAGGAGGGCAACTCCATGCCTGAATCATGCCGCTACACCTGCCTCACTTTCCAAGTCAGCTCTAGAGAGTAAGACTGGAGAAGTTCACGGTGTCAAAATTCCTGCCACCCTATGGGACAAGTGGAGCCATGGTGTGATGGTTTCAGCAATTGTGCATATGACTCTATAGGCTGGTGACCTGGGTCCAGTTCAGTGGCAGGCTCTCTGTCTGCACCCTCGGTGCTGACTGGCTCACATCCATGTCTGAGTTGTTGTTGCAAATGGTCTCTCATCCTCACAGAGGCATCCTGGCCTGGTCTTGGTAGACCAGGAGAGCAAGAGGGAAGCTCACAGGTCTCTGGACTCCATCTTAGATTCTGTCCACATGAATGTGTTCTGTTACCAAACAAGTCCTACAGCTAGCAGATTTTAGGATCTTCTGGGAGAAGTGGCAAAGAATTTTCAGCTGCAGGGAACTTACTGCACCTTCTTTCATGGCAGAAACTTTAAAAGCCTGACAGAGAACACAGATACAAAAAGAGCTAGGCTGTCAAACAGAGTCCATACTACTCCTCTTAGTGTCCATAGGTCTGTGCACCCTTCCCTTGTGCACATTCAACTTCTCCAACCAACCTACCCTGCCCCCATGCAATAAAGTCCCTCCAGATTAATGTTCATTTTGTTGATCTTCCTCCAACTCATGGGGTCACATGTATAAAACAACAAAAATTTGCCTGATATTGTACCATCTTCATAGCTGTTGGTTTGCCCAAACCCATTATTGTGGCCACTATGTATCTGAGTGTCTTCCACCCTAGAAGATACCTCTTCCAGCAGGATATTATGTTTTTGTTGCTTTCCAGTTGATTCCAATTCATGATAATCTCATGTGTGCAACAAGAGTAGAATTGTTGCATATTGTTTTCAAGGATGTTCTCCAACAAGTTTCTAGGTGAGTCTGAACTGCCAACCTCTAGATAAGTGTTCCAGCATGTAATCATTTGCACTACTCAGAGATGCCTTCCTTCCTGCACTATGTCAGATAATATATTTGATAATAGATCTTCTGGGTCTTCCTATTTTTATATTTTAGATAATTTTATAGGGAGCAGTGGTGGCCTAGTGGTAAGAAACTGTGCTGCAATCCCAAAGGCAGACAGTTCAAATCCACCAGATGCTCCACATGAAAAGGATGGGGAGTCTTCTCCCATGTGATTAACTGCCTTTGAAAACCCACTGGAGGGTCAGCTATGGGTCAGTTCTGACTCAACAGTAAACAACAAATATAACATGAACTTTTACAAAACAAATTCATTTTCATTCAACTATAGATACACATTTTATTTCATGACATTAACTCCCCACTTCTTCCCTGGGTTCTCATTTCCATTGATACTTCTATCCTATCCCTTCCTGCTTTCTAAGCTTTACCTTTGGGGAGATGCTGCCTGCCTTATGCTTGTGCACAGTTGACCATTCTAAAGAGTGTGTGTCTACCTAGTGTTACTGTTCACTATGTGGGCCTGTCTATTATCTGGCTCAAAGCTGAGCCACTGGAGTAAATTTTGTTCTGAGTTTGAAGGGTGGCAAAGGGCCAGAGTCTCAGAATTTCTTCTAGTCTCTACTGAACACCTGGCTATTTTTACATTTTTAAGTCTGTTCCATAATTTTTGTGTATATTGTCCAGAACCTGCCACTGTGACCCCTTTTTGAAAGCTCAGCAGTACCAGGAAACATTTCAACTTCTAGTCTCAGGGTCACGGAGGTTGAAGCTCAGGTAACTCGTTAGTCCTCTGACAAATGCATCTTTGCACTCTTTTCTCCTTTATTAGGACAGGGAGAGACCATAAATAACTAATCCCAAACATTCAAGATCCCGGTAACTATTCTCCAAAGTAAGATGTAGAATTTTATCTCTCTGGACTTAGAACCACAGGGTTTTCACTGTACTAAAAAGCTAGACTTTTCTTTCTAGTCTATCTTCGTCAGGAAACTGTGCATGATAGATGATCCTGCTAGTGTCTGAAATACCACTGATATAGCCACTAGCATCACAGAATCACATAAACCAGCACAGGATGATAAACGACAATTTTATACTTGCCATTTTACACACTGAGAAACTGAGTCTCAAAAAATAGAAATGTTTTCTGAAAATCACACTGTGGTTGTGGCTGAGCTGGGATTGGAAGCCCAGTCTGTGGGTCCCAAGGCTTTTCCACTCTCCCACAGCAAGGCTATCCAAGGCAGCGACCTCAGGGCTGTAACTCACTGAATCTGGCCTACTGCCAGAAGTTTAAGGCAGGTCATTTCCTATTTATGAGGCACTAGGATCCAGAGATGTATATCCCATCTACCTAGACACTGCGAGATTCCTCTGTAAGAAGTTTACCAGCAAAGAGCAAAAATAGCCTGTGGATACTGATATTGTGGTGGCAAAAATTTAAGCCCCAGGAATCAGTGGGACATCAAATGACATGTTTCAACTAACACATGCAGTCCTGGTTATGCTCACCAGTTTATGCCATAAAATTTGCAGGACAATTGTTTGGTCATTTGGTCAGAGATTTAAAAAAAAAAAATTGGAAGAGATCCATATTTGTCCCCATTACTGAGAAAGGTGATCCAATAGAATGTTGAAATTATCAAGCAATATCATTAATATCTCATGAAAGCAAAATATTGTTGAAGATCATTCAAAATTGTCTAGAACAGTACATTGACAGGGAACTATCAGAATTTTCAATCTGTTTTTAGAAGAATCCAGGGCACTAGGGATATCATTGCTGGTGTCAGATGGAACCTACCTGAAAGCAGAGATTACCAGAAGAATGTTTATGTGTGTTTTATTGACTATAAAAAGGCATTTGACTGTGTGGATAATAACAAATTATGGCTAACTGAGAAGAACGGGAATTTCAGAACACTTAATTGTGCTCATACAGAATCTATACCAAGACCAAGAAGTCTGAGCCAAGCAAGGGAACACTGCATGGCTTAAAATCAGAAAGCGTGTGTGTCAGGTTATATCCTTTCTCCAAACCTATTCAATCTGTATGCTGAGCAAATAACTCACAAAGCTGGACTCTGTGAAGAAGATGGCATCAGAATTGGATAACTTGTATTATTAAAGTGCTTGCTGAAAGTGAAGAAGATATGAAACATTTCCTACAGAAGATCAAGGACTAGCCTTCAGTATAGATTACATCTTAACACCAAGAAAACAAAGTTCATACAGGACCAACAGTCAACGTATATGATAGATGGAGAAAGAATTGAAGCTGTTAATGATATAATTTTGCTTGGATCAATAATAAGCACCCTTGGTACCAGCAGTCAGGAAATCAGGAAGCATAGTGCAATGGAAAAGTTTGTGTCAGGGGCCTCTACAAAATGCTGAAGAGCAATGATGTCCATTTGAAGACCAAGGTGTACCTGTCTTCTCATTCACCTGCTACGCATCAAAGAGCTGGACAATAACAATGACAGAAGAATTGATGCCTTTGAGTGCTGAAAGGTACTGAATATCCCATGGACTGCCAAAAGAACAAACAGAAATGTCTTGAGAAAAGTGCTGCCAGAGTGCTCCTTCAAGGCAAAGATGGTGACGCTTCATCTTTCACACTGTGGACATGTTGTGGGTGAGGTTATTCCTTGGAAAGGAACATCATGCTTGAAAAGACAGATGGTCAGCAAAGGACAGGAAGACAACCAAAGAGAAGGATTGACATGGTGACTTCAGTAATGGTCTCTAATGTATCTGAGATGATAAGGATGACACAGGATAAGACAGATTTCCAGTTGGCTGCTCAGAGTCGCTATGAGTTGTGCTCAACTTGACAGCATCTAACAACTGCATTGACTTAAGTGAGCTCTGGTGGCTTAGTGCTAAGAAATTGTGCTGACAATCCAAATTTGTGGTTCAAATCCACCAGCTGCTCTGTGAGAGAAAGATGGGCAATCTCCTCTCGTGTGATTTACTACCTCTGAAAACCCACTGGTAGGTCACCTATGGGTGGTTCTGACTTTATGACACTCAACAATAGTGACCTGAAAGTGGGATTCCTCTTTACCACAAGAAGCTTCTCTTAAGTGTGAGAATCCAATCTTTGGAGTAAACAGAGGCCACACAGGGGCAGAGATGAGCTGAGAACTGAGAGCCAAGAGATAAGTAGGCCATCTACAGAGCTGAAGAGATGTCCCTGGTTTTGAGTGCGAGGCCTGAAGCCCAAAAAGGCCCAAACTGAAGCTCCAGAGGGTGAGGCATGGAGATGTGCTCCCCAGACCAGACCACCTTATCCCACTCAGTGAAAGTCTGTGCATTTTCCACAAAGTTCCCTTGGGCTGAACTGTAGAAGCAAGATGATGCAGCAAGAGGTAACTTGTTGGAATTTTTTAACCAGATCTCTTACATATTTTTAAGTATTGTCATTCTGAGCTACAGGAGTATAGATGAGAAAATACAGTTTTCAAGTGCTGTTGAAGTCAACTACGATTCAGAGCAACCTTAAACAAGAGATCTGAACCTTCCCTGTTGTGCACCACCCTCCTGATCTCTGCCATGTCTGAGCTCATTGTTACAATCATGGTGTTACTTCATCTTGTTGAGGGTCTTCCTCTCTGAACTGCTACCTTTCCAAATATGATGTCTTTTCTCAAGGATTGCTCCCTTCTGACAGTCCCAAAGTATGTGAGGTGAAGCTTCACCATCTTTGCCTCTCAAGAACATCCTGGTTGCATGGTCTCTAAGACAGACTTATTTGTGCTTTTGACAGTCCACAGTATATTCAATAATCTTGACCAACACTGCAATTCAAAAACATTAATTCTTCTCTAGTCTTCCTTCTTCCCTGCCCAACTTTCAAGTGCAAATGAAAATAACCGGTCTTGGATCAGGTGTGCCTAAGTCTTTAAACTTTCACCCTTGCTCTATAGCATCTACCCCTGACAGATTATCCCAATGCAACATGTCTTTTTGATTTCTTGACTGCTCCTACCATTGGTGTTGATTGTGGATCCAAGTAAAATAAAGTACAACTTTGACGCTGAAAACTTTGATCTTTTCTTCATAATGTTGCCTCCATCTATCACGAAGTTGTCTGGTGGTGAGAATTTTTGTTTTCTTGATGCTGCGATGTAATCCATATTGACAGCTGTAGTCTTTCAGGAGATGAAGAAGGACTAAAGAAGTTGAGTAATGCCCAAAGTTGTGTTCAGGACAAACAAGAAAGGCTGCAGCAGTGGGCCAGAGACTGCTGCCCTGCCACCCTCCTTAAGCCCAATGACATGCTGCTCTGTCACCAAGCTTTGAGTTACAATATATCTGCATAAAATTAGGCTAAGGAAAGCAGTAAGCCTGGAAAATATTGGTTTTTGGTGAGAGATGGATTTGAAAGTAGCTTGAAGTAATAATCCATCTATCCAGAGTTGGATGTGACATGTTGGTGGTGGTGGTGGTGGTGGTGGTGGTGGTGGTGGTGGTGGTAGAACTTGGCAGTTGCTTGATATACGGCATCCCTTTTGTCAGATATTTGTGTCTCTGTCCTTTGTTCCTAGACACCAGGTGCCTGTACCAGATAAACTGTAACTCCAGAATCAGGGGCATATGATGTGTGCAGCTTGGTCCTTGACCACAGGCTACCTTCTGAAATGGTTGAGCATCTACCAATTCTTTTTGGTCGTTATTCTCTGTATTTCTTCCATCTTCTTTTCATGTATTCTGAGTCATTCAATATTTTGCCTATCGAATCCTGCACTATTGCAACTCAGTGCTTGAATTTTCCCTTAAATTCTCTTAATGTTGAGAAATGTTGAGCACGTTCTTCCTTTTCCTAACTGAGGATATTTGCACATCTCATTATGCTATTCTTGGTTTTCCTCTCAAACTATCCTTTGCAATATTCTGTTCGGTTCTTTTATTTCTTCATTGCTTCTCTTTGCTTTAGCTTTTCTATATCTTAGAGCAAGTTTCAGGGTCTCTTGCAATAAATGGTCCAGGAATTGCCAGAAAATCAAGCAAGATTCAGAAGAGGACATGGAACAAGGGATATCATTGTTGAAGTTGGATGGATCTTAGCTGAAAGTAGAGAACACTTGAACAATGTTTAGAGTGTAGCCTGAATGCTCCCTGGATGCCAGTAATGGCAAGACTTTGTTGTATATGTTTTTGGCATGTTATCAGGAGAAACTAGCCTCTGGTAAAGGGCATCATAAGGAATGTTAATGGAAGAAGTCAGTCTCTGGAAAAGGATATCATGAGAAAGACTCTCAATGACATGGATAGATCCAGCAGGTGCAACAGTGCGCTCAAGCAATGATTGAGGATGGTGTGGACAGGGTTTTGTTGTGATGGATGATGGGTCACTATGAGTAGGAATGAACTGAATCAACAATAGGAAAGACTGAACAAATCATCCATTTCATTAGTGTATTACATATATATCATCATCTTAATCCTTCTACTCCGGGGCCTCAAGAACGCCCCAATTCCAGGCACTAGGAAAAACTTGGAAAGAGGGAAAATGTCAAGGGGAGAGCTTTTGTTCTGAGCTAACTATCCCTCTGAGAGCAAAAAGGACAGTTGGGTCCTTTAGAGGTAACCATGTATCTCATGTCCCAAGGTGATTCTAGTCAAGTCTGTCACTCCAGACATGCCACTTGACTCTCAAGAGTGTCTATAGTTGAACAGTTAAAGTTACCAAGGTTTCTCTTTGAAAGAGAGCCTATCTCAGGGAAGACATGGACATTTTCCCAGGTTACCAGTTCTCTTAATCCCTCCACCTGTCACTCTGTCAGAGTCTCTATCCACATACTGCCTAGAGACAGCTCAAGCATGTTTCCAGTTAAAGTTACCAAGGTTTCTCTTTGAAGGAGAGCCTATCTATCTCAGTGAAGACATAACATTTTCCAAGGTTATCAGTTCTCTAACCCCTCCACCTGTCACTCTGTCAGTGTCTCTATTCACATACTATCCAGAGACAGCTCAAGGATGTTTCCTTCAGCACTGAGGTCTTGGAAGCAATTGCTTCTGGTGTGCAGTGTGGAAAGTTGATTCCCTCCAGCGTCCAGAGTGTATGGCATTCAAGCTTCAGGGCCCTGCAGCCCCCAGAAGATACGCTGGGCACTCACCTCTCCAGATCCAACAGTAGCTTGGCTGAGTGGGTTTCATGTGAATTGCATACAGGCTGCATACACATTTCTGGGGACTTATAGATTGCATGTACATTTCTTTTGAGTTGTGCAGGTTGCATCTGGGTTATTTGTGAGACATGGATTGTGCAGGGCTCACATGTAGATTTGTATGGAATGTGTTTTTTATGTGGTTCATGGGTAATTTTTCTGTGAATTGATTGCATGTGGCATATGAATTTAGTGATTTAATAAATGCTTTTGAGTTGTAGTGTTGGAAGAGAGTATAGAATATCCCATGGACTGCCACAAGAACTAACAAATATGTCTTGGAAAAGTGCAATCAGAGTGTTCCTTAGAGGCATTAAATTGGTCTTACATACTTTTGGCATGTTGTTATGGGGCCAACTCTTGGAAAGAGACACACTATCAGGCTTGGAAAGATTGAAAGCCAGTAAAGGAGGAGAGCTTTAATAAGATGGGTTGACACTGACTTTAACAATGGACACAAACAGACCCAACAGTGAGGATGGCACAGCATAGGACAGGGTTCAGATCTATTGTTTGTAGGGTTGCTATGAGGTGCACTCAACTCAACGACACCTAACAACAGTAAAGGTACTAAGCATGTTTTCTTCTGTTGCACGTGGTAGCTACATATTGAAGTGACTTGCTGGCACTTAACAAAAACAGAAAGACAGACTATAAAGTTGAGTACTGTTGGTCCAAGAAGGTAAAGGCCTTAGTGAGCAACAGCTCCTAATGAGTTCTTGGTGTCCCTCTGTCTTGCAGTACCCCAGGGGCTGGCGCTGAGTGGGGACCAGCTAGCACTGGTCTACATCACAATGGGACTCTGCCTGTGTGCCATTGTCGGCTGCTTCCTCATGGCTGTGGCCTGCTTCCTCAGGCGGAGGAGTGGCCAGTGCTCCTATCAGCTGCCCCCTGAGTCATGCCAGACCACTTCCTCCCAGGGTGAGTCCCCCTCCATTCTCCTCACCTGTCACAAACAGGAGAAACTCTTTTGTTGTGTCTCAGAAGAAGTGGAGACTATTTTGTCTAATCATTCTTTGAAAGGATGTAGCCTTTATTCCCTCCAGGTAAAGTAAAACAGAAACAGCCACAGGCAAGGACATGGGGCTTGAGGAATGGGGCACCGGTGACAGCCTCACAGAAAAGTCCCAGTATATGAGGGCGCTATTCATCCTCATTGGGTGTGGATTTTTTGAAGGACAGGTGGAAATCTGTCAGAAGGCAGGCTGGAACTGGACCCTGGAGGGCCCTGCTGTGCCAGGTGGTTGTTTTGCATCTACTGGGCTAGGAGAGGTGTAGGGATTTCAGAGAGGGGGCTGGGCTGGCTGTGAGGTCAAGCAGGGTTTGGGGAATGGAAGGCAGTGGCAATTTACCAGCTTGTCCTTTACTCCCACAACCTGTATCCATCCCAGTGTGTCTGATGTCGTCACACTGGTGTAGGGATGAAGTAAGGAGTAGGGCAGGACCAATACCTACCTTTTCACCCTTTTCTCAGATCACTTGATGGAAACTGGAAGTGTTGGGGGCGGGATGCCAAAGCCAGTGGAAACTTGCAGCTTTTGCTTCAATGAGCAGAGGATGTCCACCGAGAAGAACACAGGGGGTCACCGAGGGCAGGGTCTGGGCCCTGAAGAGAGGTGGTGGCCCCTACCCAGGACCACGTATATACAGCCTTCCTCCAACATAGACCACAGCGGCCTCAAGATCATATGTGCTCCCTCCCAGGAAAGGGGGTCTACTACGTAGAGCAGAGACACAGCAGATGCCGGAACAGACCAATTCCATCCCAAAGTTCTGTCATTGGTAGCTCACTTAAAAACACATAAAGTCATCTGTCTGCTGGCCACTTTCCAAGCTCACTCCTATAAAAATAAATCCCCAGTGTTTGTGGTCTCTCACACTTTGTCCTGGTGTGTTCTTCAAACCCTCACCCTGTCCTTCATTATGTGCACACCTGCACTGCCCAAGGTCTCACTGAGTTCATAGCAAAGTTTTGATGAGTTCTAAGTAACTGAGTACAAGGGGCAGTGAGCCTCTCCTCTCCTTCATTGGTGAGATAAGGGAAAGACTAGAAAAACCTGTTGCTGTTGTGTGCCACTGAGTCAGAACTCATAGCTGACCCTCCAGCAGGTTTTCAGGGCTGTAAGGGCACAGGAGATTGCCCACGAAGTAGCAGGTGATCTGGACTGCCTTTGGGATTGCAGGGCAGTTCCTTACCACTAGGTCACCAGAGCTCCCTAAAGACAGAACTAGCACAGTGAATAAGGGAGACAAGCACCAGGAGTGATAGGCTAATGCTATCGACATTTCCTTATATTCCTTTCCTTGAGGCCTCTGAGGGTGTGTGTGTGCATGGGGGTGGGGGCAGAGAGGAAGCTTCACTGGACAGGCAGTGTGGGGGCACCTCAAGTTCAGTGAGGCAAACTGCCCTCAAAGAACTCGTATTTCCCTATGAACATGGCTGCAGGGTTTTCATTAGTTGGGATTTTTCTTGACTTACTCTCTTGAATACCTCCTTTAACTTCATTCTAAAGTATCCTCCTTAGCACACTAAGCAAGTAATAGAACATTTTGAGTGTTCTGTGTACTTAGTGCTGCTACAAGAGAAATACTGCCAGAGGATGGCTGTAACATAAAATGCCTCTCATGGTTTGGGTGGTCAGGATTTGAGCGTCCAGCTCCAGGGAAGGCCCTTATCACCAGTCTTTCCCTTGGAGCTTCTCAGTGCAGGAACCAGGGGCTGCTCCTGGCTGTTCTTCCTTGGCTGGTTCCTCTGATCTCTGACTTGTTTGATCTTTCATAATCTCAAAAGCATATGACTCAAGACACAGCCTAATCTTGTCATTTTAACTTGCCCCATTATCTGCCACTAATGCTGCTTCATTAATATCACAGGGGCTAGGATTTTCAACACATGGGTTAATTCCATCAGATCCCAGCACAAAGGATCATCACTAACACTGAAGACTCATGGTGCAGGGCAATGAATTACTTGAGGTGGCTTTCTAGTAGTCTTTGTAAGACCACCTGGCTGGGGAAAACTACACAAATGTGAGGTGTCTGTGGCTCAACAAAGGAAATGGAGAGCTTGCAGATCTGAGGTAAACAGTACATTTCAGGTGGACCATGCAAACAGGAGGTACAGTGCAGCAAAAGTAAGAACTGGCTTGTGCTTTTCCATCAGACTTGAGTCCTAGCAGAAGTAGAAAAGGGGAACAGTGAGTAAGTGCCATTGGGACCAGAGATCCTCACACTGACAGGAGACAGAGCAGGAGACAGCAGATCAACAGTTCTAGCAGCAGCTACATAACTAGCAGGCTGGCCTGGACAAGCTGTCGGCTTCTGGTCCATGGAGTAAGAACATAGTTTGCTGAGGAGGTGCTTTGGAGCATTTCCTGGGGAGCTGGTTTTGCCAGTCTACAGAGCTACAGCCGAGCACCTTCAAGTCCAACCTCGTGGCAGGGGTGCACTACTAGTGCTTCCTAAGTGGCAGAGCTGAAAGAGCTTTATAATATTTGTCTGACCAGAGCCTGGTGGCCAAGGGCCAAAGGTCAAATGAGTTTGTTAGCTTTGGTACCCTATTACCTGAGCAGTTAAACTACAGAGCAAAGGGTGGGAGGGAGGAGGCCTGTTGTTCAGTGCAACAGGCAGGGGATTGCCCTGATTGAAGAATTGTATCCTGAGTTGTTCTTGACCCTGAATCCTGTTACTTCTCTAATAAATTCCCTAACTGTGAGTATTGTCTGTCAGTTCTCTATAACCTTACAACAAATTATTGAGGCCAGCCTAGGTGCGAGTGCTGGAACTGCTAGAAGTAAAAGGCTTGGAGTGTGAAGGAGCCTGTTTGACCTCACCACAATCTTCTTTGGGCTGCTGTGACTGGATCTCCTTCCCCTATGTAAGGTTGGTAGGAATCAAAGGCTGCTGCCACATGCTAACCCAGTTTTTACACATCCTAGTCAAGCTCACACATATTTCAGAGGGACACAATTCAACCCATAACACTATTTTTATTAGAACTTCTATTTATTAGCTTCCTGTGAATTTTCCACTGTATTTAAACTACTTGTTTTGAGAAGTATTTACACATTAAGATAAACTTGTGATTGTACACATGAAAATGAATTCATTTGATGTCACCTGAAATTCTCTTTCACATCTACATAAACCAGAGGGTCACACAGCACTTTGGGAGGTGTGGAAAGTCTAGCGTTCCATCATTCCATCAGCCACAGGTCATCAGGCCCTCCTCAGTAACTTCTACCACACCGCCATCTCCAGGCATGTGAGCGCCTCACAGTACATGTCCAAGACATGCGTCTGACTGATTTTCTCACCATCATGCTGCTATCTTAATGTTGTTGTTCTTGTTAGGTGCCATTGAGTATGACTCATAGCAACTCTATGAACAGCCATACTGAAACCTGCCCTATCCTGTGCCATCCTCACCATCTTTGAAACACTGGAGCCCATTGCAGAAGTCACAGTATCAATCCATTTCTTTGGGGGTCTTCCTCTCCTTTACTGATCTCCATCTTTCCAAGGAATAACTTGATCTAGCTACACATCCAAAGCAGTGGCACCATTAAATCCTGAGGCTAGGAAAGAGTGACAGGTCAGATTTGACCAAGTCATGGTTTGGCAGCCTCACTGATGGCAGACTGTAGGGAGTTGTGCTGCTGACTCAAAGGTCACGCCTTGATTTGGAATCCACTTGTGGCTCTGTGGGAGAAAGACCAGCAATCTCCTATGTGATTTATAGTCTCCCACTGAGTTGATTCTGACACGATCGCATAAAATTGAGTATTAGTCTACTTTAAGGCAAGACAGGTTTTCTTCTTCTTCCAGGGTTTAACATGCATAACCAATCATAGTCAACCCCCACATAATGTACTATGAAATACGTCTCTAGTGATTCAAATCCACCAGTGGCTACTTAGAAAAAACATGGAGAACTTCCCCATGTGACTTAAAACACTGAAAAATCCCCTGGAGGTTTAGCTTTGTGTTGTTTCCTACTATAGTAATGAGTCTTTGAGTAACTTTTAGTCTTATGTGACTTAAAAATGTGAGAAATTATATTTTACATTTACCTTCATTTCTTTGTATAAATCAACTGTCTAGGGAGCTCTGATAGCCGAGTGTAAGAAACTGCCCGGCAATCCTGAAAGCACCCACAGCTACTCTTGTGGGAGGATGGGCATTCCCATGCGATTAAACTGCCTCTAAAAACCCACCACAGGGTCAGCTATGGGTGGATTCTGACTCCACAGTACACAACAGTATATTCCATAGGAAGCTCTGGTGGCCTAGTGGCAAGAACTTGTGCTGCAATCAATCCCAAAGGCATGCCATCCGAGGCCACCAGCTCCTCTGCAGAAGGGTGGGAAATCTCCTCCCATGATTTACTGCCTTCTGAAAACCCACGGAAGGGTCAGCTGTTGAGTTGGTTCTGACTCAACAGTAAAAAACAAGTCTATTCTATTTGAAAAACTTTCAATAACATTTTTTATAATGTATCTGCTGGCAATTTATTCTTGTCTTTATTACTTTCACTTTTTAAATATATTTCCTCTCTGGATCCAGAATTGAGTTCCGTTTTTAACATTTAATATTGCCACTCCATCACCTTCTGGCTTGTATGTTGTTGCTTTTAAAAACAAAAACACAAAAAACAAAACCCATCCCAGTATTAAAACTCAATTGCCATTCAGTTACAACTTGGAGTAGACCCTCTACTAGGTTTCCAAGACTATCCATGGCAGGGAGACTGCCTCTTTGTCCCTTCTTTGGAGGCTGTAAACTGACAGCATTACCTTTGGGACAAGGAGAGCCAGCCACTCCCTAGGATACCAATGCTCCCTGCACTGTGAGGGGCTCTGACTTCAGCTCATAGTGCTATCTATGTACAACAGATGGAAGCTTCCTGTGCTGCGCTTTCAATATCTGGATGCTCAAGCCCAGTGTTCAAGTCACTTCGCCAGTCTCTCATGGAGGGTCTTCCTTCCACTCACGGTCCTTTTCCAACAAGAAGTCTCTTTCCAAGGACTGGCCCATCCTGACAACATGACCAAAATATGAGACAAAGTTTCACCATATTTGCCTTTAGAGGAGCATCTTGGTTGCCCTTTTCCCAACACTGGTTAAGTTTGTTCGTTAGGCAATCCATTAATTATATTAAGAATCTTCACCAAAACCACAATTCAAAGGCATCAATTCTCTTTTAGTCTTATCCAATAACCAACTTTCTCCTGCAGACAAACTAAAAATACTTGACTTTACTCATTACCTCCACAAATATTTCTTCCTTTTTTTTAAATATTTTTTTAATTTTTTTTTTTTAAAGAGGTTTTGGATTTCCATTTATTCACATTCATTCATTGCCGTAATTTTCTCCCTTCCCACCCCTCCCCACCAGCTCGCTTCCCCCTCCGGAGAGAGAAAAAATCCCTTCATTAGTATACAATTCCGACATCCCTTCCCCCCACCCGCCACCCCGAGTACACTTCTCTATGCAACCTTAATTCTGGATTCCTGTGCTAACCATAATACTCAATCACTTATCACTTCTGTTCTTTCCCTCATGTTTCAATACAATATACATAATTTATCCAGTTTTTTCTGTCATACCCCCAACCTGATGTCAGACCCATTCTACAACAGTGGCACCATGCAGTATTTGTCCCTTTGTGACTGAGATATTTCACTCAGCATAATGTCCTCCAGGGTCACCCACTCTGAATAAT